TCTGCAGTAGGCGGCGATCCCAAGTGATGTTTCAGAGGTCTTTCAGGAATTTACAGGATTGCTTAGTATAAGCCCTTGTAGGACGAAATGACTCTGCGGAGAGTATGCATTGCGCGCAGGAGCGTGAGGAGTAGGGATGTTGAGATATACGCGGAATGGAATGGTAGAATAATTGACGGTGGAAGGGGGGAAAATCAAAAGAAGAATAGGAGACACTCTGTCGTCATAAATAAAAGCGCGAACAAACCGCACTCCTCCTATTCATTTTGTCTGAAGACGGGATAGCACTAACAACTTGAAAATGCATTCGTAAACTTCTGGAATTTCGAAAGTCCCTTGCAACTAATTAACCGCTGTCTGTGCCTTCCTGATGGAGTTGGCCCACCGAAATAGATATATGATCAATATGTATGCAATATGTTTTTAGGATTAGGTGGGTATTCCAAAGTGGGAATACTCTAGGTCCCATTCTATGACGCCGACAGTGAACTTCAGCCTAGGGTCAAACCGCAAAAACGCAAAATGAGCAGGCGAATCAACCACATCGAGAAGAATTGGGGTTTCATGCTTTCGCCACTTATCTTCAAGCTCATGTGATGTTAGCTAAAATCGTGCATATTCCTCTCGTGTGCGAGGTGGAACACGTCTCTATTGCCTATTGCTGATCAGGGAGCGTTTGTTAGCTTAAAAGACGCCGGTCACGGTTTTCTTGACTTCTACTTGTCAGCAGCCATCTGACAAGGAGGAGAAAGTCAGAAATAGCAGGACTAGGATCTAATCAGTAAAGTTGTCCTTCCTGGGTTTGTCTGGTGCTTAGGCGACAACTTTTTAGCAAAGCCTGACTATCCGAGTGCAATAAAGTTCTTTAAAATGCAGAGATTTTATGAAATGCTTACGTGAGCTTGAGATTCGTTTCCACATCTACCAAAGTTTTGTTTGATGTGACAGGCGAAAATAAAATTCATACATTTTCGTCCAAAAGATTTCGGATCTGAACGCAAAATGCCTCCCTTCTAAGTCAAAATTTGAAATGTGAACCGATATGAACTTCTTGTTTCGGTCAAGATGTGATATCTTTAGCATCGTTTGCTGCAAATCTTACAGAAGCCTGTGGACACCAATAATTTTAGTCGCATTTCGGATAACAAAGAGTGGTTTTTCCAAGGCACTGAAAGAACCAAGTGCCAAGTAAATGTGAATTGAAAGTGAAAAAAACAGATGTCTGCCGGTGAGCGGTTAGGTAGTAACAAATAATTTAATTTTAAAACATTAATGAGAACGGATAGACGTTTAGAAGGAGTGGAAAGTGGTCCTACCAGAATCGCATTATATTGTGAGTAACACCTTGGAGCAATAAGATATAACTCGGTGGAAACCGTTGAGTAGATCTTTTCGCGATAAATTTAGTAAAATATCTGCTTTACGATGTTACTCCAAATGACTCTCTGTAGTAGAGTCTTCTGAAAGAGTTGCACCTCGGAGCTTCTGAAGTATCTTACGCGCATAGCAGGAGTCGCCTAAGCCGGCGAAACTCTTGTTATAAAACACTCAGTTACTGCATCTGAGCCAAAGACTATCTCCTGCTCCCGGAACCTGCAAACATGAACGGTTTGCTCAAAAATAACTTGTATCCGGTCGTAATTTCTACACTTAACATAGAGAAGTGAGCAAATAACTGCAGAACGTCAGGCATGAATAATGCCCAAGAAACGGCAGATGTCAGATGGATGAGATTAAAATTGAACAAGCCAGAGGCAGTAGGCGTACGCTGTCGGTTATTAATCGTCAGGTCTGTGCGGTCATATTAGTCACGGGGAGAAAGGATTAAAAATAGTCAGTTGCAAGGGTGATGGGTGGAGAGGGAGATTTTGTGGCTGGACTGACTGGCCGAATAGGAGGCAGGGGTATGATCTATTCCCGAGGTCAGGGGGTCAGAGGAAAGGTGTCATTAAGGCGTGTTTACGTTTCGTCGTTGTAAGGCGACGTGGTGGGATTCGGGTGGGGCTTAGTTGGGGTCAGCGTGACTGGGGCGAAGGGGCGGCTTGACTGAAAGCTTTTTGAAAGCACAAGGTTGTGTGGCTAACACATCCGCCGTCACAAGCTGCCTCTGGACCGGCCATTTGGAGTGCCTCACCGGCATTTCGCAAAGGACACGGAATGCTTGACTAGCGTCCACCCGGTGGCCGCTGTCAATAAGGTAAGCCGCGGTTTTGTTAGTTTTCCACGGCCTAATTTGGCCAAACAGGGTGGTGCTCACCTATCCGCTTGGGTAGGCGCCCAGTCGTTCCGCTACTATAACCCGCTCCATGGGAACAAATGAAGAGATAAGTGCACATTTCAGAGGTCTGAAAGGACAGTCTAACCCTACCTTCGAGGAGAAAAAGGGGGGGGGGTGCTTGAGGCTTCTGGGTAGGTGCGTACAATAGCGGAGTTCAGGTGAGGTTGCAGGAGTCTACTGGCCGAAACGCTTCTAAACGGTAGTGGGAGAAATAGGCATTTCATCTCGACCGTCGGTGCGTTTGTCTTTGACAGGGACTGTTCTATATATGTTTTGGTGAACCTTTCAATGAAAACATTTTATGTCAGTGTTCAATATGAGGGCGAGCCTGTTCTCCACTGTATCCAGAGAGCACATTCGTTTAGCTCGGTTGGTTGGGCAGCGAGCCAGGCCTCGTTTCTGACTTAGGGGAATAGACCTGTGGAAATGTGTTCAGCACCATGCTCACGTTTCCCGGCCGGACAGACCGCTACGAATTGGTCCATTAGACGTCCCATAAAGTAGGACGTCTCCATTCTCACTATCCATAGGAAAGGATAAGGCTGGATGAGTTTAATTCATTTTACTCAGGGGTTATCCAGGTAAAGTTTATCAATGGCTATTATGTAAATACCGTTGTTTTAGCGAAACGGATTTGTATGAGGCAAAGACGAACAGATATGCTGAATTTGACTACGCCATAAGTTTCGGGACTTATTGCTCAACTGTTAACGGTCGTTGCACGTTTATAACACTAGGGGTTCAGAAGAAGAGGTAGAGGAAGAAGAAGAAGAAGAAGAAGAAGAAGAAGACGCGGTCACTGGGACAAGAAGTTTATTGGCCTGGTGTTTCCGATTCTCACTCGAACCCATCAACAGAGACGGTTGCAGATAAAAGGGTTCACAAAGACAAAGCGGTCTGAGCAGCGATCCGAAATAAGGCCGATTACATGTGCAAGGTAAAAGCAGTGCTGAGCGACCCAAACAAGTAATCATGTTAAGCCCATGGTAAGGCGAATAAACATTTGTAGATGCCAGTAGGAAAAAGGTGGCATCGTTTCTCAAAAATCAAGTAGCAGACTGGAATAGAGCCATGTGTATTAGGCCCACGGGCTTCCATACTCCCAGGCTGTACAGGCTGCAACCCATGTTATCAACTTCACTCCTTCATAAACCCGGATGGCTTCAACAAACAGAACCAATTAGGCACAGTCTTGCTAGTCAGAATATCAAATATGGTTTTCTCGAAATATCTTAATGTACTGAATGATCACACGATGGTCATTCGATGTGCAGGACCTGTGAAATAAAGAGCTGCTGCACGAAGCCACTGGGGTAATTTGTGCGCATACGCGCCAGACCGACTGCGGTTGTACACTACAAATGTACAGTTCTTGATTAATGCGCACCTGTACCGAGAGATAGACTGCGTATCTATGGGCAGCCCAGTGGGGGCAGCCCTTAAGGCCGTCTATATTTCAATTCTCGAGCTAAAACTGTTGCAGTACTTTCAATGAAGCACATCCTATGGAATATGTGGAGTTGTGATCACTTACCTGCCGCTCAAGTTATCGTCCATAACACTCTCTCCCAACCGTTTGATATCCGATCTAGTGTTCGACAAGGTTGCATTCTGTCACCCGTTCTGTTCTGCTACGCCATCGACTGGATTCTTGGAAGAGTCCTACACGGTTTCGACGGCGTGGAGTTTACACGCCAACGCCCGCTTGACAGACCTAGACTATGCTGAAGATATCGCCTTGCTCGCCTCAAACTTTGGTGATCTACAGGTTATGGTGCCACGGGTAAATGAAGTCGCCAGACCCGTGGATTCCTCCATGAACGCTGGGAAGGCCAGCGTATTTTCAAGGTGCATCCCTGACCGGGGGAAGCACCCCTCGGGATTAGTGGCTGTCAACTTGAAGAAGCAGACAGCTTTAAATACCTCGGTGTGAGGCTGCTGCCCAATGGACAGGGTAAGGATGACACTGTCTCCGAATCGATGCTGCTCGCCAGGTTTTCAGTAACTTTAAAGTGTCTTTTGACCCGACGCGACACTTCCATCACCATGATGACCTGCGCGAACCGTGCATCAGTCCGGTCCCACAGAACCGCTAACGCTCTTTTACTGGCGTGAATGCCGCCTCAGGTCAACACGGGTGTTGTCTCACGAGCATCAGCGCTTGCACATGACGTCCGCTTACCCTGCCATGTCCCGTGAAAACGCCTGTCGCTGATTGGTCCTTACTCCCTGATCGACTTTCTCGCGCCCGTATGCCCGGACCGATCTCTTTGATTCTACTTTAGTTTTAGCACTCAGCGGATTCTGCGCTTCCCCGAAATAAACGTTGTCTCCCCAATACCCCGTCTCCAACATCGGACAAGAAACGTGCCACTGTCACTGACCTAACTACAAGCTGTGCTGGTTCAGTTTGGTACGCTAGTCCGTTGTCACCGTGGCGAACGAGAAGTGGCGGCCATTTTACTATATAATTATGATCCGTGATTATTCCAAAACGTCTTGCTTGGGCACAGAGCTGAAGTTTAAGTGCAAGAGCTTCCTGTGACATATTCAGTCAGTATGGAGGAGGGTGAGGAGTGTGTGTGGAGAAAATGTGTAGGCAAGTCGCCCATTCACCATTTGCGACGCCGCCATCACCCGTGTGTCTCAAGTGGAGACCAACGCCTACCTCAACCTCCCGCCCTCTCTACATCAGCAGCTTTCCAGTGGGAAATCCCCCGGATCAGATGCGACCCCTGCAGAGATTTACAAGCATGGCGGCCTCCAACTTACGAATCACCTGACAGCGCTCTACCGGAAGATGTGGCTTGAAGGATAAGCCCTTCAGGATTTCGAGGACGCCACAATCGTCCACTCCCACAAGCGGAAATGGAGCCCTCAAATCTGCGACAACCACAGAGGCTTTTATCTCCTCAGCATCACTGGAAAGATCTTCGCCCGTATCCCTCTCGACCGTCTCAACAACCATCCGGATCAAGGACTCCTGCCGGAAAGCCAATGCAACTTCCGCCGTCATCGTGGAAGCACAGACATGATCTTCGCCGCCCACCAACTGCAGGAGACGCGTAATGAGATGCGAGTGCATCTTTACTCTGCCTTCGTGGATCTGCCAGAAGCCCTCGATACGGTTAACCGCGCAGGATTGTGGAACATCATACAGAAATTTGGCCGTCCGTAACGATTCACTCAGATGGTGCACCAGCTCCACAATGACATTATGGCGCGTGTTACAGACAATAGGGCCGTCTCAGAGGCATTCACATCGACCAACGGAGTAAAGCAGGGCTGCGTTCCCGTGCCTACCCTCTTCAGTCTCATGTTTTCTGCCATGCTGATGGACGCCTACCGTGACGAACGTCCTGGGATCCGCATCATCTACAGGACGGACGGCCACCACCTCAACCACAGGTGGATGCAATTCCAGTCGTGTGTATTCACAACTACCGTCCATTAATTCCTCGTCGCCGACGACTGCGCCCTCAACGCCACCTCGTAAGGGGATATGCAAAGGAGCATGGACCTCTTCGCACTGCCTGCGACTTCGGTCTAGTCATCGACACAGAAAAGACGGTGGCTATGCATCAACCACCACCCGACGCTGCCTACGTCCCACCTCCCTCTCTCTCAACACCAAACGCGACGATGAAGTGGCCCACCGGATCTGAAAAGCCAGCCAAGCTTTCTGTCACCGGCAGAAGACCGTCTGGAATATTCACGGTCTCCGCCGCAGCATCAAACTCAAGATGTACAAATCGGTCATCCTGCCCATGCTGCTGAATGAAGCAGAGACTTGGAAGCTGTAAAAGAGGCAGGCGCGGAGACTCAACCATTTCTATGCCATCGGTCTTCGACGGATACTAAAGCCGCGGTGGCAGGACCGGATCCCGGAGACGGATCTACTGGAACGAACAGAAATGCTCAGCATCCACGTCATGCGGAGACAATTGAAACTGCGCTGGAGCGGCCACCTCGTGCGGATAGACGACGAGCAGCTATCCAAACGATTCTTTTATGGAGGTGTCGCCAAAGGCTCTCATCGACAAGGATATAAAGACTTCCTTGATGCGCCTGCAGATTAAACCGACCAACTGGGATGACCTCGTGCAGAACGGACCGACATGGAGGAGAGCAGTGATCTATGAAGCCCGCCGCGAAACCGACGCCAAAGCCAACGTGAAGCCCCTGTCGCAAACTCCGCGAAGACGGCCACCCCCGTCACCGCCGACCACACAGTCGCTGCCCCGCCGCCACCAATCACTGGCATCATCAGCCGTGCCCCATCTCCTGACTCGACAACAGCGACCAGCTCCACCAATGCCACGAAATCACGCACACCCCCCACCGATGGGACGACATACAACGTCCCATAACCTTCTACCATCACAACCAACACCCCCACCTCTAGCGATGAGGAGCCGGTCCATACCTGTTGTCATTGCAATTCGCACATTCATCTCACACCTCGGCCTGGTCGGTCATTTGCGAATCCATCACACAGAAACCGGCAAACCAGTGCCTGGAACACCGACCTACAGTCGCCACAACCTCCTCCACCGTCCGCACTGCCCTCACACACACTCCCTGGGTCACGTGCGCATTCATGAAAACCTGCGGAAGACAGCCGCCAACTACATCTCATCCTCACACCTTCCCCCACCAGTAACTGCGCCACATAACGCAAATCATTCAACCACCACCTTGCATATAGGTGGGATGTGTGCTGCTCGGTCCCTTGTCGATGTGACTGCTCTGCAGCATGTGTGACCCGAGGCTGAGGCTGTCACGTTGCGCCAATTTCCGTGGCTTGGAAGGCTGCCGACTGACGCCTCAACTAAGTCCCCACAGACAGCCCACTTGTGTTTGTGTTGAGAGGCGCACTGGTGTATTGGGAGTCAGGCTGTCACGGCCCCTGCTTAACGTGACCTCTGGCACTCTCACGCATGTGAGGGGTGTGTTTTACGGGTAGTGCCTCTCGGTTGACGACTGACTGGCTACCCGGCCTTTAAAGGGTGATGGCCCAGGCTAAGTGAAGGGCTGCATGTCACCCTTCTGTGTCCTACGGTTTGTTTGCGTCTGCTATGCCATGAGCAGCCAACCATGGCCCTCTCAGTTTGGTGTGCGCGGGAATTTCTCCGGTACCTGGTTCTTTGGCGGTGGGTGCGCTTGTGCTCCCGCTGGGTATACAGGTCGTGAGCATGTTTGTCCAGTCATCCTTGCCTTTCTGACCCGTTGTTGTGCTGTTGTTGGTCAGAGCCCTGGTCATGTGTTTGTTGTGGAGCAGGGGGTGTGGTAGTACACTTGGGTGCGGGTTCGGCCGTACCAGCCACCTGCGCCCTCCTCCGCTTCCGGTCTTTTTGACAATGTCTTAATAACGGGCCTGAGTGGGGGAGGAGACGGGGGTAGTAGATGCTGGGCAAGTCTGCTCTCACTATAAACTAATTCATGCGCAAGTCACCGTGCCTGTTTCACCCTGCTGTGGAGCACACCGTGGACATCGTCGGCAACGACGGTCGAACCGTCACGTAGGCAAAACGATTAGGTACAGATGACAGACGCTTTGAAAATGGGACCTAGGCGCCTTTATGACAACACACAGACCCCTCACCTATGTGACTTAATGAAAGAATAGTGGCAGTATATAGCAAGGTTAGCGAAAAAAATTGAGAGCCATCCAATGTCGGTGGGTCAATGGATTTATGGTCGATAGTTTCTACAGATTCCGTTCAGTCGTGGTACAACAATGTTTATTTCACACATTTCAATCTCGACCCACGAAACACTAGCTTACGCATTGCTCCTGTTTTTTTTATATTAAAGACAGATTCAATATGAAGGCGTCTTGGAAACGGTTTTTCGGCAAGTAAACGCAAGTGCAGGAATAGGGCGATAAGGACAAAAATCAACCATCCAAATAGGGAGCTAGGGGAGAGCTATGCTCGAAAAAAGCCCACACGAGATGAGGAACCACTAGGATGGAATTAACTATTAGTTTTCACACGTTTTAATTTGAACTTCCACCATCATCTATCGAAGAGTGGTGTAAATTCCTCTTCGTAGGAAGCTAAAAACAAATGTACGTTTATTGGTGTCCTTTTCAGCTATGGAGAATCGTCTGTCATGTGTGGCTTCTCGGGGTGCTTTGTGATGATGCCCTGCTCCTGCCTTCCATACGCGATAAACAGCCACTGCCAGAGATATAGGAGGACATTTAGTTACCCGTTAAAATGGCCATGACCGTCTTCGCCTCCTCACAGCATTACCAAGACTTGCTCCAAGGGTTTGTCCTCGTCACGAACCAGGGTCACCTGTTGGTACGAAACTCCAGAAAAGTGGGTGTGATTTTGTTGAGGATTTCTATCTTCTAATTTATTTCCGTCACCTTAGAAAGAGGACACTAGTGAACCGACCCACAGGTCATATCAGCTTTCAGAGGAATACGCTTAGGTCTTTTTTTCCAAGTGAAGAAGCGTTCCTCTGTGCCATGACAATCGGCGCTAGGCGAGGTCACTATAGTAGAGCCTAAGAAAAACAGTCACAATGGCTTACTGAACGCCTACTTTATCACCGGTAGTTCTGGCTGGGTCTTAAATGTTATCTGGGATGATTTTTTGTCATTTTTAAAACTTTGACCGTAGCTTAATACACTTTAATAGTCTTGATCTAACACCGTCGGTTGGGTGCAGTTGTAGCGATTACGGTAGTAAGGGTACTTTGACCCATAATCAGATGAACCAGCGAATTAGGATAACGGACACACAGCTACTGCAAAAGCGGAGCCTAGGAAAAGACCTTGGCCCCATGCTGTGGCACCTGCAAAGTGCAAAGAGAAAGCGATCACCTACGGCCTACAGTCACATCCAGGTCACTATGGCTTATGGAATTATAAAATCTCTGCAGTATTTACAGGATGCAGTCGCTACTTGTCGCAT